CGCAGGCGGCAGGGAGGGAACGGGGTCCCCTGATGGCTGTGGCCGTCCCTGCCCATCCCAGGAACAGCTGTGCCCGCGGCGGAGGCCGGAGGGACCCTGCCAGCACCGGGCATGTGACAGGAGATGACAGAGCTGGTGGCTATTTATACCGGTTCCTGGTCAGGGGCTGGGTGCAGGGACACGGGGGCTGTGTGCTACATGACTCCGGTGGTGGGGCTGCTCGCTGGGTACCCAGGGTGCTGTGGGCTGTAAAGCTCTTCCCTGGGAGCACTGGGACACAGCTGGGGGCAAATAACCCCAGGGGCTTGCAGCTCCCATGCCATAGGCAAACGGTGGCCCTCAGGGTCCCCCGGGTGCCTGCCTGCCCCCTGCCACGCCAGCACAGTTCAAGACCCCCGGCAGGCAGGGAGGCCACATCAGGACTATGAGGACAATTCCTGTCCCTGCAGCCACCTATGCCCACCTCAACTGCCCCCAGACCACCAGGTGGAAGGGGACAGTCCTAGCGGGGACCCCCATGTGCCCAATGGGGGCACAGAACTGTGCCCAACAGGGACACCGAGCTGTGCCCAACGCAGGCACTGAGGGCATCCCTGTGCCTGACCGGCACAGAGCTGTGCCCAGTGGGGCCACCGAGCCGTCCCTGTGCCTGATGGGGGCATAGAGCTGTCCCCATGCCCAGCCCATCCAGACTGGGGAGCCTTGGTGGGGCAGAGCGGAGCAGGCTCAGGCCCTGGCCAGCACAAGCCCCCAGTGGGCACAGGCCCTCAGGGGGCACAGACCCACGGCGCAGGGGGAAGCCGAGGGGAGGCTAGTGCTTCCCAACCAGTCAGACCCAGTAAAGCTGCTTTACATGAGAAGAGGGGCCCAGGGTGGCTGCAGTGCCACGGGCCTCCGCCTCCCAGCCCCTTGCACCTGACTCTGCTGGCCCTGCAGAAAGGGGCCTCCCTTACTCTCAGCAATTCTCAGCACCCTCCCAACTGGGAGGGGTCCCAACTGGGGCACCGGGGCCCTTCCCACTGTGCTGCATGGCCCCTGTGCGCAGCACGCATCTCCAGTGTGTGGCCCCATTGCAGCTCTGGTGCATAGGCCCAATGGCGGAGGGAGGTGGGAGCCCACCTATGGGCACCCACCCACAGCTGGGCACCCATGTACATACACGCAGCTGGGAACTCACATGCATGCATGTGTACACACACACACACACACACACACACACTAGTGTGTGTCCTTCACACATATGTGAACATATATGTGCTACACATGCACACATATGTATGCATGCTTATAGGTATTATAAGCATGCACACTCACACCTGTTGGTGCATGCTGCACATGTACGCACACGTGCACCCAGGCTGTGTGCCACACCTGCACACGTTGACACAAATACACACACCTGCGCTCCACATGTGCACACAGATACGTCTTGGGAGGGTGTGTTGCACACACACAGAGCACAGCTGTGCATGCGCATGCACTTTGTGCATGTGTACACACAAACACTCCTGCGGTGTGTTTCACATGTGCACACACCCAGGTGTGCGTGCAGGGGGCGGGTGACAGAAAGAGGGTCCATGGCACAGATGCTGTCTCTGCTGGCCATGGCTTGTGGTCAGGGGTGCTGCATGGCACAGGGACCCTGGCACAGGAGCACCCATTGCCCTCCAGCACCCTGGGCAGAGCAAGCCTGAGACCTCCTCAGGTGAGCGAGGAGACGCATGGGGGAAATTGAGGCACTGGGGACAGTGCGACATTCCCAGAGCACCCTGACACCACCATGCAGCGAGGTGGCTCCCTGCACTAAGGGGACAGCACTCATGGGGTGGGGACAGACCAAGCACCCAGCGTTGATGCCCCAAAGCAGTCCCTGCTCCAGCTCCTGGTTTGCCTGCTGGGCTCTGCTCACCCCTTTAGCACTCAGGGAAACTGAGGCACGGGGGGAGGACAGGCTCAGGGTGAAAGGGTGCTGCCTCCAGCCCCACCAACCCATGGTTTAGGGGAACAAGCTGGTGCTTCGGACATGCAGCCCCCAGGAGGGAGCCACCCCCTGTCCCCAGCTCAGCACCCCGAGGTGCCAGATCCCCCCCCACCCCAAGGTCCTGGCAGGGCTGGGTTCCCTATACACATTAATAAGAAGAAGCAAAGGCTTTGTGAATCCAGCAGGATGGGGTTCACTGAGAAGGGAGGGTAAGCTGCATGGATGCCTGGGCCCTCCCGTGGGACTTGCCACCCCAACAAGGTCACTCCCTTCTCCTTGCCCAATTGGGTTCAGTGCCACCAGCACTGGGATGCCGGGTGCCAGCTGCTCTCCTGCTGTGGGCACCATCGCTCCCTGCCCCGGGACTCATCCCACCCAGCTTGAAATGGCTCCAGCTTGGGTTGGGAAATGGCATCTTGCTGTGGGCCTAATGACTAGCTTAGTCATCCCAATGCTGAGCCACCCGCATGGTGACCCCTGAGCCCTCACTGGAGCCTGTCCGCCTGCCCTTTGGTCAGCCATGGCCAGCTCAGGGAGCTCCGTGTGCCCCCTGCGAGCTGCAGCCATCCCCCTGCCACGTGTCCTG